AAGTCGATATAATTGGGAGGTGACACGAGCATGTTAGGAGACAGACATGAGTTAATCCAAATTGCAGTTCTGTTCATGCTTGAACCAGTTTGAGTCGCAAACACAGTTCGATAAAGATCTTGTTGAACCAAGGCTGGGAGGGGGAGGGCCGGGAAGAGGAGTGGCCATATGCGTTTTAATCACCCGAAACCACTTGTTTTCTTGCTTGTCTGTGATCTTTAACCATGCACGCTTGGCACCAGACTTAAACGAGGAGCTTCATACAAATAAGAGAGCTGATAAAGAGATTGAACGATACTGGGAATGGATCCCGTCAGATTGTTGTTTGAAAGATCCCTGCGCGTGCGTGGGATGAGATGGGGAGGGATAAGTGAGGAGATGAGATTAGAGGGCATAGAGTGAGCGACAGCAAGCACACACGGACGATTCAAGTGGGAGGTGACACGACCATGCTGGGAGACAGACATGATTTAACCCGAATTGCAGTTTGGTTCATGCTTGAAGGGTTGAGCAAGAACACGAACGCCTGTTCGGATCGCCACGAACATGTTCGGGGGGAACAGTGTGAGAAATTTTGAAGAAGAACCGATAATTTCATTAGGAAGAGCATGGGTTTACATAGTTGAGCTAGGATGTAGGAGCCATGCCAACATTATTGGCCCCCACCAATAAGTTGGGTTGAAGAATTATTGGGGGGACTAATAATGTTGACCAAAAGTGGGTCAACATTATTGGGGGGTCCAATAGTTTTCCAACCCAATCTTGGGGGCCCGATGATTGAGCCAAGGCTGGGTTCCGACCTCAAACTAGGGTAAACCCTAGTTGTGCACCCAAACTAAGTTTGGGTGTCTATCTCTAACCAAAGCTTATATGATGATGCAGGTTACAATGAAGATGATTATCTGACAAACCGAACAGTCTTTTTATTGTTCGAGGCGAACATGTTCGGTGTTCGCCCGAACATGTTCGCCGTTCGCCCAGACCTGCTGGCCGAGGCGCGTCGAACACGAACACGAAAGTGTTCGTTGACAAATTTTGCTGCGACCAAATTTAGGTCGCGGTGTATTTAGATTGAGCTCACCTTTTGAGCTCATTCTCATATCGACCTAACCGCCAGGCCCTAGTCTCCCACAAACGCCATTACTTAATACTTTTAAGAGGCACAACACTACGTCTTAAAGTTATATGAGGGACATTTCCTACTACTAGAAAGGAGTTGCACACATTTCTTGAAGTTTAGAGATGTTAGATATCATTTAAGACTTTGCGCAGTCCATGCTCAAGGAGGACGAGCCGTCGTTACTCCGTGCGATGAGACGTAGGTTAGAGACGGGCATTTGGCCCGGCCCGACCCGGCTTGGCCGGGCCGAGCGGGTTCCCGGGCCGGGTCAGGTCGGGCCAGCCTCGGGTCAGGATGTTGCATACCCTGACCCAACCCAGGGGTACAGGGCCGGGCCGATCCTGACCCGACTTCGGCTCGGGCCGGGTCGGGTCGGGTCAGGAAACCCAAATTCGTTCGCGCTCTGTGCAGATCGGCGCTTCCGTCCGCCGATCTGTGCCCGCCGATCTGCGCAGATCGGCGATTTTACCCGCCGATCTGCGCAGATCGGAGATTTCGCCCGCCGATCTGCGCATATCGGCGCTTTCGTCCGCCGATCTGCGTAGATCGGTGAGTTCGTTGGTGTAACTTTGCAAATCGTCAATTTCGCTGGTCGATCTGGTGGAGATTGGGAGTTTCGTCGTGGCACTTGTTTCCGACGAATGTTGGAACAAACATTTTTAAGCAATTCGCCATTGCTCACCACTCCTTACCGCACTAAATCTACCATTCCCAACCCCCCCCCCCTCCCACTCTTTACAGATCTCTCGACATTGAGCCTCTCCACAAAGTCGACTTCTAACTTGTCGCATCATTCTTTGGCTGCAAACCAAGTAGTTATGGTTCCTAGGTGCCTTTGGTCGCTGGAGGAAGGATATTAGGTTTGCGGTAATGAATTGATGTCGAGGGGAAAAGATTACCCTTGACTTAGAATGTGTTAGGGTTTCGAGTCTCCCCTGTGTCGAAATCGGGTCGAAATCAGCTAAACAGTGATGTTCGTGATGGGGCAAACACGACGTGTTCGTGTTCGCCCCTTGCTCATCCCTTGAACCAGTTTAAGTCGCACACACAGTTCGACAAAGTTTTTGTTGATCCAAGGCTGGGAGGGGGATATCCGGGAAGAAGAGTGGCCATATACATTTTAATCACCCGAAACCATTTGTTTTATTGCTTGCCTGTGATCTTTGACCATGCACGCTTGGCACTGGGCTAAAACAATGAGCTTCATACAAATAAAAGAGCTGAGAAAGAGATTGAATGTGAGTGGGAATGGATCCCGTCAGATTGTTGTTTGAAAGAAACCTGTGCGTGCGTGGGATGAGATGGGGAGGGATAAGTGAGGAGATGAGATTAGAGGGCATAGAGTGAGCGACAGCAAGCACACACAGACGATTCAAGTGGGAGGTGACACGACCATGCTGGGAGATAGACATGAGTTAACCCGAATTGCAGTTTGGTTCATGCTTGAACCAGTTTGAGCGCACACACAGTTCGACAAAGTTTTTGTTGAACCAAGGCTGGGAGGGGGATGTCCGGGAAGAGGAGTGGCCATATGCGTTTTCCACGTTGGTGGCAGGGCAACTGTTTATCGCACTGTTGGTGGCAAGCGCATTTTCCGGCCCACTAAGTTTTCGGGTACACTTGCCACCAACTCGAAGTGAACAGTTGCCCTGCCACCAACATGGAATACGCCCTTAAACACCCAAAACCTCTTGTTTTATTGCTTGCCTGTGATCTTTGACCATGCACGCTTGGCACCAAACTTAAACAAGGAGCTTCATACAAATAAGAGAGCTGAAAAAGAGATTGAATGCCACTGGGAATGGATCCTGTCAGATTGTTGTTTGAAAGTTCCCTGTGCGTGTGTGGGATGAGATGGGGAGGAATAAGTGAGGAGATGAGATTAGAGGGCATGGACCGAACCGAATGACAACAAGCACACACAGACGATCCAATTGGGGGATAAGACGAGCATGGTGGGAGGCAGAAATGAGTAAAAAACGAATCGTTGTTGGTTCAAGTCGCACACCCAGTCAGTCTGACGAATATGTGGTTTTCGTCGAACCTGGGCCTGGGCCCTGGGCTGGGGTGGGGGGGGGGCAGGAGGAGGAATTGCGGGATATTCAGCCAGGCTTGGTTGCCAATAACGTGGCCATATACGTTATGATCCGCAATATGGCAGCGTTATTGGCTGCCAAGCCTCAACGTGTGGCAGCCTTAACGTGCGGCCAGCCAGGAACTCCTTGCCTTCTTCCTTGCGTGTGGCATCTGAAATATGTGACTAAGGATATTCTCTTGAGGGTTTTGTCAAAAAACTGCCATTGCCAGCCATCTGTCCTTAATTCTGTCCTTCTTGCTCTTCTCTGTTCCTGTCCTGCCTCAGCCACTCTCTATGAAAGTGATAGAGCTCTCACCCTAAGGGTCCTCCCTGAGTGTTGTGTCACCTGGCTGCAAGGTTAAGGTAACAACGTTCCACTATACGAAAGGATAACAAGCAAAAAGCATCGGGTGGGTGTGAGAGAGTGAATTTACCTGGCCCAGGCTCGAACCGTGCATTTCTCAATGTGCGGCTCGAGCCTGGGTTGGTTTGTTCACATTGGTTCCGTGAATTCCACCCCTCGGTGCTCTCCTACCAACCTCGCGTCATTTTCTCTGGTCCCCAACTACCTACCCTCGAATGTGGCAAACTCAACATTGCTACACCATACCTACACCGCATACTCTGGCACCTTATATGCATAATCATGCATATTCAGTGACAGTTTCAAAATCATGTGATCGTTGATCGTGTACGTTCTTATCACCAGCCAAACGAGGTGCTTCATACAGATGAAAAAGCTGAAAAAGATCGGAGATGCCATTTGGAATGGAGCCCGTCACATCCTTGTTTGAAAGAGACCTGTGTGCGCACACGAGGGGGGGGGGGGGGGGGGGAATGGGGGACGGGGAGGGGTGTTGAGGCGACAGATGTGAGGAGATGAGAACAGTGGGCATGGACCGAGGGACAGCATAGAAAGCAACACAAGCAACCCAAGAGGATGTTTTGTATGAGCATGGTGGGAAGCTGTGAGTAGCACTACGAGGAGAACAAGGCAAGAGAAGTGCTACATTATGAGGGGCAAACAAAGGGTGAGGAAAAATGAAAAAAAAATACAATAATATTATTCTAATGGTGAGCAGGACTGGCATTGGATGCAACAACCAACGTTTATATGTGACTGCCGTGTTGGATTCTTGTTGTGTTATCGCTTACCAACGTGCCCTTCTCTACCTCTATATCAATATGCGTCTCTTCTTAGCTGCCTTCGTTCCCTGGAATTCGACTAGCTAATCGCAGGCGAGCTAATAGTTTCACTGTGTGGTTCTTACAGATAAGTTAGTGCTGTGAGAGAGGAGATGCTGTCAGGAATAGGTCCATTCAGATTCGCCGTTTCAGATCTACGTGGGGTGGGTGGGTGGGGGGGTGGGGGGGGGGAGAGATGAGGAAACCAGACGGAGACACGAGTGACGTGAGCACTGGAAATAAATGGTGCAAATTTCACCAATGAGCACAGAAATCCATCAACACAAGCCTGCAGGACACTATCAGCTTGTGTGGGGTCCAATCCATCCCAGACGGGGAACATGATCACACTTACATCGAAGTGATCATGCCTGAATCATCACACGTGAGTCCTTGGGCGCGGGAACAGTCAGCACCCACGGCCCAGCCTTGGACCGCCTTTCCCCATGCCATTCGGCAGTCCCAGAGAAACACATCTGACAGTTGGGAACAGGAGGGGAGAGAGAGACAGAGGCAGAGATGAGGAAAGTTCCAAATATAGCACTGAAGACCAGGGAAACCAGAACGGATTACCAGGCTCAAAAGTCCCCAGACCTGCAACACCATCCCGAGGCGCCAATGCTGCCTGAACCCAATTTGGAAGGGGATCTTCATTTCGGGCCACACATAGCAGCCCCGCCAGAAGCAGGGCTCCGTCACCTGCTAGCCCAATCAGAAGCAGGGCTCCGTCAACGCAACCGCGGCCCGTCAGAGAACACCCTTTCTCATGTGCCCACTCATGTCGCCACTGCAGCTGCCAGACACCACGGGCACCCTTGCCAGAGTCACCACTCTGGTGAAACGAGGCAGATCAGCGAAGGCACTGCAGGCCCTAGAATCCACGCCACTCTGCCCAAACCAACGAAGCCACTCTAGAGCCCACCCCAGTGTTGCGTCCGCACCGCACTCTCCTTTCGGCTTACAACTTCCGCACCAACACGCCCCTAGCCATTTCGCCCGAGGATTGCAAGAACGGTGTTGGAGCGGGCCCAAGTGGGGTGTGCTTTGAGCAACTCGCGACGCCACGCGCTTCACCATCCCGACGTGGGCGAGCACCTACTCGCTTCACCACCCCGACGTGGGCGAGCACCTACTCGCTTCACCACCCCGACGTGGGCGAGCACCTACTCGCTTCACCACCCCGACGTGGGCGAGCACCTACTCGCTTCACCACCCCGACGTGGGCGAGCACCTACTCGCTTCACCACCCCGACGTGGGCGAGCACCTACTCGCTTCACCACCCCGACGTGGGCGAGCACCTACTCGCTTCACCACCCCGACGTGGGCGAGCACCTACTCGCTTCACCACCCCGACGTGGGCGAGCACCTACTCGCTTCACCACCCCGACGTGGGCGAGCACCTACTCGCTTCACCACCCCGACGTGGGCGAGCACCTACTCGCTTCACCACCCCGACGTGGGCGAGCACCTACTCGCTTCACCACCCCGACATGGGCGAGCACCTACTCGCTTCACCACCCCGACGTGGGCGAGCACCTACTCGCTTCACCACCCCGACGTGGGCGAGCACCTACTCGCTTCACCACCCCGACGTGGGCGAGCACCTACTCGCTTCACCACCCCGACGTGGGCGAGCACCTACTCGCTTCACCACCCCGACGTGGGCGAGCACCTACTCGCTTCACCACCCCGACGTGGGCGAGCACCTACTCGCTTCACCACCTCGACGTGGGCGAGCACCTACTCGCTTCACCACCCCGACGTGAAAGAGCACCTACTCGCTTCACCACCCCGACGTGGGCGAGCACCTACTCGCTTCACCACCCCGACGTGGGCGAGCACCTACTCGCTTCACCACCCCGACGTGGGCGAGCACCTACTCGCTTCACCACCCCAACGTGGACGAGCACCTACTCGCTTCACCGCCCCGACGTGGACGAGCACCTACTCGCTTCACCGCCCCGACGTGGGCGAGCACCTACTCGCTTCACCGCCCCGACGTGGGCGAGCACCTACTCGCTTCACCGCCCCGACGTGGGCGAGCACCTACTCGCTTCACCGCCCCGACGTGGTCGAGCACCTACTCGCTTCACCGCCCCGACGTGGGCGAGCACCTACTCGCTTCACCACCCCGACGTGTGCGAGCACCTTCAACGAGGGTGACCTCCCCCAAGACGTGCCCTTCAACGAGGGCGGCCTGCGCGTGCGTCTTCGGCAGTCCGGTCGGCCCGCCTGCCGCCTCACTCCCACCTACCCTGGGAGGCCTCGGCATCACCGATCCGGCAGCGGAGTGCAACTATGCCTACATGCCGTCAACGGCGACTACCTGCAGCCCTCCTCACGCAGCTCGGAGACGCCCTCCACCCCTTCTGGACCGATTTTTGAGAATTATTGCAGCCCTGCTCATCTTTTTTTAGCCTTCCCCACCGCCGGCAGAAGCACCTGTGACCCTCCCTACCCGCATCGCCGTAGCAGAAGCAACCCTTCCGTTGGTCGGCATCCCCACTCTCGCCCAGCTCCGGGAGGGCGCAGCGCAGACATCTTGAACGGTCAGAATGCCCTACCTTTGGCAGTCCACTCTGGCTGCTACGGGGATCTCCTAGAGCAGAGCAGGGAACTGGTTGATGGCCATGCCTGTTACCCACTGATGGGCCACACGCAGTGCTTTATGTCCCTGATTGGCCCGGGTGCGGGGATTTGGCTGATGGCCGTCCCCTTTACCCACTAATTGGCTCATGTTCGTCCCATTTACCCGCAGTTTGCAGCTCTCTCCTGCTCACTTCACATCAGCATTGGCGGCTCGGCCTACCCCAGGAGGTACCTGGCACATGCGACTGCCGCGGCAACACCCAAATACTGTGCTGCTGCGACAAGACCCAACCCAGGTACTGGGCACTAGACTCCCCAACCACCTGCTGCGGTGCGGAACGGGGGGAAAGGACGCATAGGAACCCACCGGTCGATGCGCAACGAATGTGCCCGACCGGAATTGCAGCCGCCGACGCGGGCTTTGCGGCACAGTGGGAGACTACGCTGTACACACCAGTGGAGGGGCTGAACTGGAGCAGTGTGGATCGAGTTGACTTTTGAGTCGACTCAAAAGTCGACCGGAATTGCAGCCGCCGACGCGGGCTTTGCGGCACAGTGGGAGACTACGCTGTACACACCAGTGGAGGGGCTGAACTGGGGCAGAGTGGATCTATGAGGTTACTGTGGCAGACTGCGCCACAGTAACGGCATCAGAACGCACTGATCGCCAAGACCCACGCTGGCTCTGTGGTAGACTGCGCCACAGTAACGGAAGCCACGCTACTGTGATCTGCGACCCAGACCGCGCCTCCGCCTCTGGTGTACCAGAACGCACTGATCGCCAAGACCCACGCTGGCTCTGTGGCAGACTGCGCCATAGTAACGGAAGCCACGCTACTGTGGTCTGCGACCCAGACCGCGCCTCCGCCTCTGGTGTATCAGAACGCACTGATCACCAAGACCCACGCTGGCTCTATGGCAGCCCCAACGGCAGTGAACACCTTCTTTCAGCCGCTACGCATTGGGTAGAAGCTCCGCTGGAGACTTGCTTAGTGTTAGGCCGTGGCAGGCACCCCTGTACCAACCTTTATAACCCTGGTTGTACTTCCCCCCTTATCAGTAAGGGCCATTTGAGGCACAATGTGAAGAGTGGATACAGCGTACGGGTCTGCGTTGACGCTGATGGATATATACAGCCTGCGCGGGAAATGTGTCAGGGAATCAGCTTTGCTACCACATACTTTTTGGGGAGGGGGGGAGAGAGGGGGGGGAGGGAAGATTTTAAGCAGTCGCACTGCTACAGCCAGCGCCAAAACGCTCCCTGCTTTCCGCGCCTGCTACTATGGATAACCAAGGAAAGGCTCTTGTGACGATGGGTCTCTCCCATCCCCGCCTCAAAGCATCGGCTTCAAACGCGCACACCTAGGAACAACATCGGCACGTGTAGAACACGTGCCGCACGAGTGCTACTCGCATTGTGGCAGTGCAAAACCGCGCGATGATGATGGTACCACAGTGAGGTTTGAACGAGGTACGAAAAGGGAGGCTGAGAGGCATTGCTCGCTGTTACCAACTCATCCTAACGCATCGCCGTGCGGCGGTATTACCTGTACTACTACTATGGCTGCCTCCTACCTGTCGTTGGCAGTCTACTAGTAACCATGAGCGCCTACTACGTGACGTCTTTACCCACTTACTAGTACTACTATCAGACGCATCGCTACACCAGGCTGCGAGGAGGAAGGGAGGTACAAATTAGAGAAGCATTCCGGTACCTGTGCTGGTTGGAGTAGGTAATGTGTTACACTGGTAGTAGTAGTAGTAGCATTGTTCGAGGAAGAACGGACGTACCTTGTGTAGCGTTCAATCTGATCACGGTTTGCGCATGGCTTGGGGAGATGAACGCAGCAAGCCAAAGCGCGGCGGAGAGTGCAACCCATGCTCGCAGCTGCATCGTAGTTGGCTCTGGCGGCGGCATTTGCGGAGCGACTGAACTGCTCTGCTACAACTGCCACCACCTCTGGTGGTAACGTTAGTTCAAAATTTTCACAATAGGAATCCCAGCGAAGGTGACGGAGGGAAAACGAGACTACACAGCAAAGCGGATGGATGCTAACTTGAAAGGTGTCACTGAGGGATGGAACTTGCCTAGACAGCACTGAGCGACAGTGCTTGGAATGGGCTCACAAAAGCACAGTGCTGCTGCTCTGTCTAAATTTGGAGAATTGGCAGGTTGACGCCCCCAGGCCTGGGAGGAGGTTCTGTCAGACGGAAGGACCCAGCGAGCCGGCACACGCACAAGGTTCCTCCTCACCTACTTCCGAACCTAACCTCGAACTCCAGCCCGAGCCTGCAAGTCCTCTGAACAACGGAAAGACTTGGGCCATGATTCCTACCGCGTGCGATTTTCGTTCTTGAACCTCCCAGAGCTGGTGAAGGGGAAAATTAGGTTTTTGGAGGTGTTCGGTGGCACATCATCACATGCCTATTTTTTTGCCGAGTCTTTAGCACCAATTTTGCATTCAGAGGGTCGTGGTGTTGATAATTACGCACTTTGCTAACAGACGAACAGTGAGATCCCGCTTTTTCCCCTGAGTCTTCACTCACACTTAGAATAAATTAGATAAATCCTCTCAGGAACTACTTCGTGTTCATTCTCAAACTTCCACGCATCGTCGCCCAGGTGCCTGGGAGCCGGCTGGAGCTGTCGTCCCCCGCCTGCATCGCACTTCTTAGAGTGTGTCCGAAGTGAAGCGTCGAATGGATCTCGCTGGATGTCGGTAAATGTCAACCCTCGGATGCAGAGTTCCAACCGTCAGGATTTACCGGCATCGGATTGAGAAAAGTAGAACGAGAATGAATGAACTATGAATGAAGTGAGTACATATGGGAAACCCTAATTGGGTTGTACCCCCTATGGGATACCCCACTATAGCCTACACAACAGCATAAGCTATATATATGTTCTGACACACCCCCATAGGCAAAGTGGGGGAGAACAAGGGGTCACAAGACCAGTCAAGCAAAGCAGAGCAAGCTCAGGGTGGATCACAAAGTCACCACACAGTCCGAGCACAACGACAGGGCAACAGGGCCAGTTCACATGCAGGAGTACACATATATATATAGAGCTAGACAAGCAAGAGCAGGTATATATATGTGACAGTACAAGCAAGGTCAAGAAGAGAGCAAGTGAGGCAAGACAGGTACAAGACCCAGCTGGGTGCAGAAGCGCTGATGGTCACAAGGCGCAAGTGCCTTGGTGAACACATCAGCAGTGTTGGCCTCAGAGGCCACGTACGCAAGTCGCAACTGACCACGCTGCTGCAGCTCACGAGCAAGAAAGTAACGGAGAGCAATGTGCTTCGTTCTGTGCTCCAAGCGCTGCTCTCGACACAAGGCCAGCATGGCCTTGTTGTCTACGTACAACACTGGAGGAGAACGAGGCGGCTCTCCAAGGTCAGTCAGCAGGTAGGTGAGCCAGCGAAGCTCCTGTGCAGCCATGGCCCCGGCGTAGATCTCAGCCTCACAACTGGAGCTGAGAACAGAGGACGAGCGAGTAGCCCGCCACGAGACAGAGCCGGAACCAAGACTGAAGGTGTAACCCTGCGACGACCGCTGTGTAGCCTGGTCGTCTGCCCAAGAAGCGTCCGCGTGCCCAGTGAGGACCACTGGACTCCGCCCTCCAAGCACTAGCCCCATGCCCGACGTACTGCACAAGTAGCGCAACACCCTCTTCGCTGCAGCCATGTGCTCTGGTCGGTGTCTCCCAGGAGCAACATAGCGTGAAAGAATGCTAAGAGGGTATGCAAGGTCAGGTCGTGTGCAGGTCATCAGGTACATGAGGCAGCCAACAAGCTCTGGGTACGGGCCACTCGACTCTACGGACTCATCCGAAGGCAGAGCTGAGAGCGAGTGGCGAGTAGACAGAGGAGTGGCCTGAGGCGAGGAGTACGTGAAGCCGAAGCGCTGAAGGACCTGCTGCACCATGTGTGACTGAGTCAAGGTAATGGTGCGGCGTGCTCTGTCCCGAGTGATCTGCAAGCCAAGGTAGCTGCGCAGTTCACCCAGGTCTGTGCACGTGTGTCTCTTCTGCAGCTCGGACTTCACGTAGGCTAGTCCAGCAGTGTCAGCTGTGGCAAAGACCAAGTCGTCGACGTACACGAGGACGTAGAACGGCGGCAAAGAAGTGTCGGTGCGCAGAAACAACGACGGGTCAGCAGTAGAGGGAGCAAACCCAAGAGCCGCAAGCGTAGTCCTCAGTGTGTCGTGCCACTCACGCGGTGCCTGGCGGAGACCGTAGACTGGCCGTCGGAGGCTCCACTGGGTGCCAGGAGGAAAAGTCCCAGTGAAGCCAGGTGGACGGCGCAGCCAGATCTCCTCGTGCAGGCTACCCTGCAAGAAAGCAGTACTGAAGTCAAGAGAGTGGAGCTCGTAGTCGCGCTGAGCGGCTATGTGCAGCAGCACCCGAAGAGTGGTCATCTTCGGGGTGGGAGAGAAGGTCTGAAAGTAGTCAACTCCCTGCCGCTGACTGAAGCCACGAGCGACGTACCGCGCCTTGAAGACAGGTGGAGAGCCCGGCGGCCGCTTCACCCTGAAGATCCACATGCCACTGACGATGTTCGCCCCAGGAGGGGGAACCGCGTCAACGTAGGTGCCTGTGGACTTCCAGGACGCCATCTCTGCATCCATAGCTGCCTGCCACTGAGAGGAGTAGGGACCCTCTACGGCCTCCGCGTAAGAGCGCGGAGTCGGGATGTCTAGTGCATCCGGGTCTCCCTCAGGGGCAAGTAGTACGGACGCGAGATGAGGTGAAGCAGCAGCCAGACACCGGAACTCCTCCTGCCTGTCCTCAAGGACGTCCGTGCCAAGAGCACACTCACCCCCGACGGACGGAGGACAAACAGACGCAGACTCAGCAACAAGACCGGCCGCGTAGTCTAGACGACAGCGAGCAGCAAAGTCGACGAGCTCAGCAACAAGCGCAGACGCAGCAGTGGACTCAAAAGAGGGGTCAGTGACGACAGTAGCAAGGAGACGTGTGACAGCAGGACTGGCAGCACGAAGAGAGTCCGACTCCGGGTCAGGAAGAGCAGGAAGAGAGGACTCAGGAGGAGAAGGCAAAGGGGCACGCAGAGGAGCAGTGGACGGACGCAGAGACATCCGGTGCGTGCCAGGGACAGGAGGAGGACGCTGACGCGAACCACGACCACTAGTGCGAGCAGCACGGACAGGCGACGCAGGGCGAGACGCAGGCTCACGACGCTCAGCAAGACCTCCAGTAGGACCAGTGTAGGGAGAAGGAGCGGGCAGTGGGGAGGCCGGCTGGAACTGTAACTGTGACAGGACAGGCTGTGGACACTCTAAGGGAGGAGGAGGACCAGTAGAAGGCGGGAGACCAAGAACCTGCTGAAGGAGCGGAACGAAGTACGGTCTAGGCCGCGCGGCGACTCCAGACACAGCAGGGACAGCACCAGTACCCCCAGCGGCAGCACCAGCGCCAGCAGCACCTCCAGCTCCAGGACCTCCAGCAGCACCAGTAGCACCCCCAGCAGGACCGC